AATGCCGCCAACTGCAGCTCCTGGATTGGCCAGGCCACGGCGGACGATTTCGGGTTCAGGGTCTAGGGATTCAGGGTTTTGGGTTTAGGGTCTACGGGTTCAGGGTTTAGGGTTTAGGGTTGAGGGTTTAGGTTTTTGGGAGGTTCAGGGTTTGGCCGTTCAACAGTTTTGGGGGGGTTAAGGCGGAGAGCTTTCGGGTTCAACGAGTCGGGTTTAGTGGTTTAGGGTTCAGGGTTTAGGTATCGGGTTAGGGTGCGGCGCATTTTTCTGGATGGCATTTACGCGATGCTTAGAATGGGACTTACGGTCTTATACCGGTACCTACTCAGAAGCAAGCTTGGGGAACCGTAAACTACACCCTAAACCCCAAACCCCAAACCCTAAACCCCAAACCCTAAACCCTAAACCCCAAACCCTAGACCCCTAAACCCTAAACCCTAAACCCCGAAACCCCGACCGTACAAACTAGCTTGGAGATCTTTGTTTCGGCCCAGTTTAGGCGCTTCGGGATGGAAGATATGGCTCCAGGCTCTGGTCTTCACGCCTCGTCAGATATGGGGATTCAGGCTTTAGAGGTTTAGAGTCTACCTGGACCCCAGAAGTATGTAGAATAATCGTATTTTATAGGTTCTGGGCCATTAGTTTGCCGACTTTGGGGGGTTCAGGTAGAGTTCAGGGTTTAGATTCTAAATCAGGGTCGAGCAGTTTCTATTCTTCTACTTTGTTGATGGTCATACTGCAGCCCGACACATCCCGCTACGCCGGGCCCGAGCCGTGAACCTCACGCCTTTAGAAGGCCCCGGAAACATTCTTAATTCCATTAAGGCTCCCTGCGTTTACATAGTATACACCATTGCTCCATTGCAGTTCCCTTCTGTAGTTTATGTTCAGGATCCTAGAAGGGAATCCCCAACAAGGAACTACAATGGAGGCTGTGGGCATGATATAAGTATATACTTCGGCCTTATTGCACCTACAGCGCGGCCGGTTTCAGGCCTAAGTTCTTTACCCTAAGGGTCCATGTACCGGGTTTAGGGTTTAGGGTTTAGGGAATAGCTCCTATATAGGTACTTTGGGGCCAAAGAAAAAAGAATAGGGTACATGGACCCTTAGGGCTAGTTTATTGATTCCCTAAACCCTAAACCCTAAACCCTAAACCCTAAACCGCCCCCCCCCCAATATATACCGTATGGGTAGATGGAGCCTTAGGGGTCACAATTCCCAACTTCAGACCCCTCCATCCTCTACGTTTCCCCTTGCTAAGTTACGATACGAAAGAGACCATATGATTTACTAAACCCTAAACCCTAAACCCTAAACCCTAAACCCTATAGTTATAGATCCCGGGTATGGTATTTAACTTAGATTCCTCAACAAGAACCCAGGTTATGAATTACTATAGTTATAGATCCCTGGTATGGTAACTTAAGTTAGGTTCCTTAGCAGGAGCCCGGAGTATGGGAGCTACTTCCCCCATAGCTTCGTCTATATAGACAACCCTAAACCCTAAACCCTAAACCCAACCCTAAACCCTAAACTATATAGATGCTTGTAGGGCCCTTTTGGGGCAAGGCAGCGGACCCCAACGTCTCCGAATTCGAGACGTTTTTGTTTCCTCACCTGGCCCGATCTGTGGCCTCAACAGTTGGTTTTACCTGGATTTGTAATCAACGTCAACCTGGAAGTCAGTCAGAACCCCAAACCATAAACTCTGAACCCCAAACCTTAAACTCTCAAGAACGAAGTACATCGACATTGCATGTCTTTCTTCACCACAGCCCCAGCCTGAAAGATAGCCCAGCCTCAGTCTTAGCCAGACCCAGCCCCCAGTCCCCAGCCCGCCCCAGCGGTTTGGGATTGAGGCTTTATGTCCAGCCAGGGTTTAGGGTTTAGGGTTTGGGGTTGAGCAGCCCCCCAATTCGAACCAGGTTCCAAGAGAAACAACTCTGTCAAAACGTTTCGGTCAAGACTTCGGCACCCAAAATCCCTTAACAGTTTTTCTAAACCCTGCGCCTTATAAACCCTAAACCCCAGACCCAAAACACCAAAACCTCAACAGCCCGAGCCTTGGTACGAACCTGCAGCGGAGCCCTCCAAGCCCGCCATCTGAAGTGAAAAATAAAGGGGCCTTAATAATTAGAATAGGGTTTTGGGGGTAGGGTTTTGGGGGGTTCCCTAATACAATTATGGTATAGTATACAGCCAAACCCTATTGTAATTATTAAGGCCCCTACATAAGGGTTTAGGGATTAGGGCTTAAGGCTTAAGGCGTTTAGGGATTAAGGGTTTAGGGTTTAGGGATTATAGGGTGTAAGGCTTGGGGCGTTTAGGGATTAGGGGTTGAGGGGTCGGGGCGAGTGCGCCTTACTCAATCATTCAAGCTTTATACAAGTCTTTATGCCAAGTGTATTCTTGCGTTGGACAGTCGACTTTCCAAAGTTTGGTGGTGCCTGTCCGGAGGCCATTTCCGATAGCCATTTTGTGGCAATTGTGCTGGCCTCAGAAACCTCACCGGGTTTAGGGTTTAGGGTTTAGGGTTTAAACCCCACCTGTGGCTCCAGTTACCTACTGTTTCGAGGGCTATGCCCTATAATTAAAGGGTCATAGCCTACTATTCTGTAGGGTTTTGGGTTACAGGTAAGCCCCAATTAGGGTTTTGGGTTACAGGTAAGCCCTAATTAGGGTTTCGGGTTTAGGGCGTGAGGTTGAAGCTCAACTTTCGGTCTTTCCTTGCCCACCCTCCCAACATAGACTCAATGGTTGAGTATTTAACCTTGAACCTGGGGGGGGGGGGGGGCTTATATAATCCTACTATAGTTGAAGAAGTTTATCGTTTTGGGCTAGGGCACTCAACCCCGAAGTACAATAGTTCTCATCATAGCAGGTCATACTCGACTAAGAAGTACGCGAGGCATAGCTTCTGGTTTAAGGAGGTAAGTGCTTGGGGGTTTCGGGTTTAGAGTTTAGGCGTTTAGGGTGCAAGGTTTTGAAATTCGGGTCATTAGGGTCTACCTGGACCCGAAACAGAACCTATCCTGTCAAGGACGTATATAAGGAAATCATAGTAGGGAGCCCTAAAAGGGCAGGGCTTTACAGGGTCCAGGGAGGGTTTAGGACTTCTGGCATAGACCCCCTGATGTATTCTGCAAGCCGAGGGCCTTGAGGAAGATGAGCCCAAACCCTAAATCCCTAAACCCTAAACCCTACACCCTAAACCCTAAACCCTATATCCTAAATCCCTCAACCCTGAAGCGCAAGTTCGTGCTGCCGCAGCCGATCGCGAAGCTGCACGTGTGGAGGGAACGCCTTGCGGAGCGAGATGCGAGGCTAGGTGTCTACATCGACTTTGGGTTTAGGCTTTAGGGTCTAGGGTTTAGGGAGAAACGTCCCACTTGGACGTTGAGGACACGTTGTAGCTGGCATTAGTTCCGAGTTCCGACTGCTGATCTTTGGATTGCGGCCATGCTCAATGTGGGAGTTTCTGAAAATTAGTGTACCTTATTTTGGGGTCCTTACAATAGGGATCCTATTATTTAGGGTACTATATTAGGGTCCCTTATTTTCGGAAACCCCCATGTCTGGGATTCCTGTAATTGCTTCCCGGACCGGGGCGACGACGCCGATGACGGCAACAGCGCCAGCGTCAGCGTGAGTGGCGTCAGCATGTAGCCTGGTGACAACCCCAAAGGGTCTAAGTACTAGCATAGTATATACTTTCGGGGCCCAAATACCTACTAAGTACCTACTATAATGGAACTTGGACCCTTTGGGAACAGTGTCACTGCTGTCTCTAAGTACATAGCGATGTCCGGGCTGCTCAGGGACAAGATCAGGGCCAGAGTCACTGGCGACGAAGCCGCCATTCTGAAACTGAGCGACTTCGCTGTCGTAGTCGCGGAAGACTGCGAAAGGACAAGCGCAAGGCGAAGATCAGCTCGGGTAAGCTCAGGCCAATGTTAGTAGCCCTACCTATAGTCTCCATTGTAGTTTCTTTTTGGTGTTAATTACCTTATTATAGGATCCCCAATATGAAATTTGCTAAGCCACAAAGGATGAACTAGAATGGAGACTAGAGGTAGGCTAGTGTTCTTGTAGTCTTCGTGCCTGGTGTGTGTGTGTGCCAAAACCTGGTGCTCCCAATGCCTAGGCTCCGAGGATTGGAAAAAGCAGAAAGCCGAGTCCGAGTTCAGGGTTTAGGGGCGGGTTTAGGGTTTTAGGGTTTAGGGTTTAGGGGCCCCCAGTGGGAGTGGTGTCCTCCTGCAGCCGTTCGTACTGCAAAAGCCTTAAAGCTACGAGAGCGAAGCCACGCAACCACGGAAGCTCCAAACCTCAAACCTGTGACACGGCAGTCTCCAACCCACGCCCAATCTCACGACTGAACCTTGCCAGAACTGTGTGTTGATTTGTGTCGAGTAGGCTGCAGCAAGAACACCTAGCACATCAAACCCCACGTGCAATCTTGGATCCTCCCCCGACATGATAGCCAATAGCCTACTGTACGTATCAATGACGTCACATGCGATTACACGGACTAGAGGTGACTTCTCTGACGATCGCACAGCTGCTGAGGATGGGGACGGCGACATAGAGCAAACCCGAACCTCTAATCCACGGTCCTGCATATGCTTGTTGAGGGCAGGATTTCGTGGCTTTCGGTAAACCCTAAGCCCTAAGCCCTAAACCCTAAATCCTAAACCCTAAACCCTAAACCCAGAAGCCCTCAGAGCCCTAAACCCACCACCTGAACCTCGATGATTTTAGCAGAGCCCCCTCCCCACCCCAATCCCTGCAACGCACCCGACCTACTGTAAATCCAGTTTAGACCCCTGCTTCGAGACGCGACCCTATACCGCAACCCTAAACCCTACCTGGACGCCCGAAAACAGGTGGGCTCCTTTAGGGCCCAGGTAAACCCCTAAACCTTACACCGAACCCCCTAAACCATAAACCCTAAACTCCCTAAGCCCTAAAACCCTAAACCCGAACCCTGCAGCCCCAAGGTGAAAACCCCGATGGCACCAAGCACGTCGGTGATTATCGATGCCCGGGCCAAGGAGGTATTCCTCAGGATCCAGGGTTTCGGGTTCAACTTCTGTGGTTTAGGATTCAGGACTCTGGGGTTTAGGGGTTTAGGGTTTAGGGTTTAGGGTTTAGGGTTTAGGGCTTGGGTAGAGCACAGCACCAGCCGTTTCAGGTTTGCGCAAGTTCTTAGTGCTGCTATCGCCGTCAGGGATCCTGATTGTGGCTATCCTCAGCCCTCCAGTGATACTGAGTGGCAGGTTTCTCTAGCCATACATCATGTACCTCAGAAACAAGTTATTTAGGTAACCGCAGACCCTTAGGGTGGAGTATACATATGATAACCCCAAAACCCGTATTAGCTTTAATCATTGTAGGGGCAAAAAATAATTACCAACACTAGATTGGGGGTTCCTTGTTGTAACTATAGTATAATGGGCCCCAAAACCCTATTCTAATTATTAAGGCCCCTATATTAGCTTAAGTATTTTGGTCTTTGTATGAGGATTACAGGAGCCTGGAGACCCCACAGGGACTTAGATAGGGGTTTCTTTGGGTTTGGGGTTTGAGGGTTAGGGTTTAAGGTTCAGGGGTTCAGGGTTTAGGGTACTCATGTAGTATGTACTTTGGCCTTCAAGTAGTCCCTATATGGGCACTTTGGGGCCAGAGTATACCTGGGGATCCAAAACTTTTTTTTAGGGGTTAAACTCTACAACTACAAGGTCATAACCTACCGTTCTAAGGGTTTGGGGAGACAGGTACACTTTATGAGCACATGGAGCCTTAGGGTTGCAAGTGCGGAAGCGCTTCGACCGAGGCTTCGGCTGCGGAAATTTCCCAACTGGTTTGCGCTTAGGGACTTAGCCCTAAGTTTCAACACAAAGTTGTTTCAAAAGTCCTATGTAGTATGGTATTTGGGCCCATAAAATTTAAAAAAAACTCTTACTGTGACTTTCTTGTAGCCTTTGGGTAAGGCAGCCTGGTCCTGAATATCCCACGACTCCCAGCAACCTGAACACCAGGAGCCCTAAATCCTCAAATCCCCCACCAAAATACAGCCCAGATACATCCCTCATATGGGTAGTTGTCAAAAATATGGTCCCTTTTGGGTTGCCCTGAATAATAAGTGCCGTACTATAATAAGGACCCCAAAAGCGACCATAATTTTAACAACCACCCACATCACTCATATCCTAAACCCAAACACATACGTGTGTCCGGTGTGGACCCTTAGGGTGAGCCCTAGTTATCGCTGCACCATAAAACCCTAAAGCCGGCTAGCCATATAGGAATGGGATGGGGATCCTGTCTGGAGCCCGAGCAGCCAGTGAAGCTGAGGCAAAGTTGGCGGAGGAAGCCAACATCAAGCGCGAGGCATCGCCAAAACGTTTCTTTCGATTTTCGGGGCCGAACCCTAAACCCTAAATGCTAAACACTAAACCCTAAAACCCTAAACCCTAAACCCTAAACCCCTAAACCCCTAAACCCCTAAACCCTAACCCCTAGGGCTAACTAGGCCTCCTGGAACCTTCGGTCGACGTCTTTAGAAAATTCAGCTTACATCCTTGGCTTGGAGTAAGGTTTAGGGTTTAGGGTTTAGGGGTTTAGGGTTTAGGGTTTAGGGGTTTAGGGTTTAGGGTTTAGGGTTTAGGGCTTGGTGTAACCAAAACAACGCTAGAGCATAGAGTAGCGATCTGTTCTGTCAACAGTGGTGATGAATATTTAGGATCTTCAACATGCCTCAATAACTTAGAGGCTGAGTACGTAGCCTTTAACCCTTCGGGACTTCTATAATTCTACTATAATTCAATTGGCTAACCTTTTTTGGGCTTTGGTACTCAGCTGTGTTTCGCGCTTATCGTACAACACCGGCAGTGTTCCATGTGCAGCTTTCCAAGGTCTCTACGGGTCCATGTACCCATTTAGCATACTTTAGCCGGTCCAGAGCCTCAGGCCGTGGTCACCCCGCAATGCACAGCATGCCCTGGCCAAGAATGCAGACTGGCCGGAAGGCCAAAGTAATTATATACCGAGTAATAACAATAAATATAATAATACGAATAAATATAATAACAATAAAGGCACTAATTATAAGAACTGACAATACTACTAGCAATAACAATAATAAGAATGAAGTTAAGATAGTAGGCAGCATGTACTATGTGGGCACATGCACCCTTACGGAGTTAGAGCCCGAAGTACAAGATGCCCTTCAAACCCGTGTTCTGGCCTTGGTTGGGAACTCCAAAACAATGTACCTATAGTCTCCATTATAGTTCCTTTTTTGGGTTACCTTATAGGATCCGTAATATAAACAGGGTTAAGCCAAAAAAGGGAACTACAATGGAGACTATAGGTAAGCCCAGCAGCCTGTAGAGCCCCACTCCGCCGTGCAGCCCCAAACCCTCTCAACCTAGGACCTAGTGGAGGGGGTTTAGGGTCCAGGGTTTCGGGTTAGCTTGTGGGGACCCCGATCGCATCTGATCGGTATTCCCCCCGAAATGGTAGCGAAGTGAGCCCAGAGGTATATATACCTGCGGCATCGCTGACACCGACCCCTGAACTGCTGGATGTCTGGATCCGCAAAAGCTCTACCCTCTTATGGACTTATGTCAGGAACTCATAATAAGGAGCCCTGACAAGGTCGGTTCTTTACGGTTTATAGGTAGGGCTTTAACACTAAACCCCAAGCCCCGAAGCTTTACCCATCGGCAGGTTCTCCAGCGTCGCTGGGTGGCCTTCCGCGCGAGAAGAAAGGCACCGCAGCTTTTTAGGCATGCGGTGGCCCTCAGATTGTGGATGATGCCTATAGACTATAGTCTCCATTGCAGTTCCTTTTTGGTTTATCCAGTTTTATATTCAGGATCCTAAAAAAAACAAAAAGAAACTGCAATGGAGACTATATGTAGACGATTCTTGGGTTTTGATGTTGAGGATCGAAGCTTCATATGGTGCACGCAGGGCAAAGAATTCCCAATGCGTTTCCTTAGGGTTCCTTCTTCATGTTTTTTTGTTTTATAAGGCTTCGCTTGGCAAGCTTGCGTTATTAGCATAGATCGGCATCCTCTTTGCAGACATTTGGAGCCGAACCAATCGCATCTGACACCCTGGTCAGCTGAGTCGCATTACTCCGCCTCAAGGATTCCGTAGAAGATGTCACAACCCCTCCTCAAGTTTCACGCCGTGTCCTAGAAGCCCAAATACACATTATCTCCATGAATTTCCGTAACTACTATGCGGCAGCACGGTGTGCGTGTATGTGTATGTACAGAGGGTTTCAAGACCACCATCTACTAGATAGGTAGCAGGGCATTTAGGTCAAGCGCTTTAGGGGTTTTAGGGTTTAGGGTTTAGAGTTTAGGGTTTATAAGGTTTAGGGTATAGGATTTTGGGGTTCACCATTGAGGGCTGCAGGGTGCAGGCATTTGGTGTATGCTTTGTGTTAATCCGCGCCTGAATGCCTGCCCGTCATGTTCAAGGTAACGAACATTGGGTCACAGGATTTGTGGGACGGGTGCTGAGCTTTCGGCTTACCTATAGTCTCCATTATAGCTTCTTTCTGGGGTTACCTTATACGATCCTAAATATAGAACTTGTTAAACAAAAGCAAGAACTACAATGGATACTGTATATGTATATATATATATATAGAGAGAGAGAGAGAGAGAGGTGTAGGTGGCGTCAGCGTCCAGTATTCGCGGACTTAATCAATCCTGCAGGGGTCTAGGGCATTCACTGGGGTTAGGAGCGGGCAGGGTGCTACGCAGAACAAGCAATGCAGCCGAAAAGATTATACCTACCTCCCATATGCCTCCCCTCTTGAGAGTGCCTTGGTAACTCCAGCTGCAGCTTATGCGTGTTTTGTAGGGTAAGGCTTTAAGGGTCTGATGAATCCCAAACCCCTAAACCCGTAAACCCTAAACCCCTAAACCCTAAGCCCTAAACTCTGAGATTGAAGAGTCTGATGCTTGGGAGGTCGGAGACCCGCGATTGCCCCTGAAGGCGCCAGCAGCGACTCAAGAAGAGAGTGTGTTTGGAGTTGCACTGTAAGGGGTTAAGGTTAAGATTTTAGGTTTTAGGGTTTAGGGCATTGTTTTTGGAGTGTCTCGTACGGAACCACATGAAGCGCGCACACACACACACACACACAAACACCTCTGGATCTCTTTGTCTCGTTCTGTAGATTAGATGCGCTTATAGATGTAGGAAGCAGGTATACAGAACAAAGGTGTAGGTTACGGACGTTTAGGTACAGAAAGAGAGAGAGAGAGAGAGAGAGTTTACAATCATTTTAACCTTTAAAGAAGACAACCTTACCGTGTTTACAGAGGTTTTAATGTCTTGGTCGTCAACTCATACAAGGCTTGTTGTTAGTAACCATCTTTGTTGTATCTATAGGTATATAGGGTTTAGGGCTTATAGGGTTTATAGGGCTTGTAGGGCTTTTTGGGTGTAGGGGGTTGTCCGATTCTATGCAGAAAGGCATCGGCAGCCAAAGGATTCAGGTGTTAAAGCGGCAGTCAGTTCAGGTCCAGGCCCTAGGCCCGGGACATGACACTCTCTGCCCAATCTACAGGAACGTTCATAGCCTGTAAACCCTAAACCCTCTAAACCCTATAAGCCCTGAACCCTATACACCCTAAACCCTATAAGCCCTAAACCAGAAATGAGGCCGCTGGATCTAAATACCCTCATTCCTTCCTTTCGTGAGTTAGGCACCGTTATGTAAGTTTGTGTTCTGCCTTTAGGTCCGAAGGGTTTTCGGCCGCATGGGTGGTCCTCCTTGGTAATTTAGAAATTGGTGGCGTTTCTTGAGTTGGATTAGGGTTTAGGGTTTAGGGGTTTAAACCCAGTAGATTTTCTTTTCGACCACAAGAGAACTGGTTTTCATTCTAGAGGTACAGCGGTGCACATACCAGCGCCGCATATACGGTGGGCAGAAGGATCCCATATTGCATCCGGCTGAAGGCCCAAACATTATCGACTATATGGAGCCATCAGGTTCCGACTTTGCTAACGTCGGTTCCTCTGAGGGAACTGTACCTAGGTTACCCTACGCCCCCAAGAGGGCTATACAGTAAATGGGGTGTTGTCTTTCCCATACGTCCTAAACCCTAAACCCCAAACCCTAAACCCTAACCCGAAACCCTAAACCCTAAACCCTAAACCCGAAACCCTAAACCCTAAACCCTAGAACTAAACCCTCAACCCGAAACACTAAACCCTAAACCCTAGAACTAAACCCTAAACCCTAAACCCTAGAACTAAACCCAAAACCCGAATCCCTAGCCCTAAACTCTGAGCCCCAACAAGTTCCTTCCCCTTCAAAGGCAGTAAAGCTCCAGGGGCCCTGAGAGACGGTTTAGGGTTTAGGGTTTGGGGTTTAGGGTTTAGGGTTTGGGGTTTAGGGTTTAGGGTTTAGGGTTTAGGGCCTTAGGGGTTTAGGGCTTGAGGG